CCATTGCCATTTCTCCACTCGTCTGAAGCCACTTGGCGTAATCTTTATCACCTTCCAGGCCACGTTATATTCCTCCTGGTCCTCTGCAGCGTACCAAGTGTCTGTTGGATCTACATTTTCCGGGCCCAGGATGTCAAGCCAGTCTTGAGGGATGGCCGCGCACAGCATGTTCCAGTTATCTCCCACCCGTCTAAGACCGTTCAGGCGATTCTTGAGCTCCGTTAGTTGTACCCATTGTCCCAGCAATGAAGACCAGATGTCACGAATTCTGGAAACACGTCTCCTCATCCAGGCGAGACCAAAGGAGCCTGTCGAGCCATCCGCAGGGAGAACAGTCCCCTCTTGTGTACATATGCGGGGATTTTCGAAAAGATGTTGGGCCAACACCTCTTTTTTGGTTTGCGGAGGTGTTGGGATGTCGGGCGGGAGGTTATTCCAAGCTTTCAGGATCGCCTTATAGAACAACGACTTTGGACATTTCCTTCAGAAGAGTCAATGAAGAAACCCACCCAGACATCCCGTGGCCTGTTGAGGTTCCATTCCCTCATCAACAGTCTCTCTGCTAGGAGGACCCACTCCTCCTTGATTTTTGTTACTGCAACCTTGCACACCCATGATATGAGTTGCGCTTGATTCTTCTGCGTCGGGTCTCATAGCCCTAGTCCTCCTTGTGCACGTGGGAAGGTTAGAAGCTCCCATGACACCCTTGCTATGAATCCTTCTTCCTTCTTTGTGTGCGGTTTCCGGAGGAAACGGGCAATCAGTTTGTGCACGGTCCTAAGGATGCCAACCGCCATTTCTTTTACAGTAATACCAACCAGAGGATTGAAAATAGTGCTGCATTTGCCACCAACGTCCGTCCTATCAGCGAGAGATGCCATGCTATCCGACTTTGAAGGAGTAGGCCCTGTGAGTAACACCTCACTTATAGGCTGATCAGCACACCGAGAAATCTTTCTTCCTCCCGTTTTTCTTTTCTCTTCATTCCCCACTTTACGCTCAACTTGAACTGGGTTGGCAATAGGCATGAGGACTTGACCCAATTGACGGACGCTTCTGATAGAAAGGAGTACTCCTGCATGACACTTTTTAAGGATGTCATTGCTGACACGATGTTCTCGCAAACTGCAAACAGGTCATCCGTTAATGCCTTAACTTTGCACTCCACTGTGTCGTTCAGCGTGAGACCTTTGATCAATTGATGCTTTCTGATTCGGTTTAGGAGGACGTCCCCCTGGAGAACGAACGACAAGCGGGACATGGGGCATCCCTGTCGCAGCGATCTCGTGAGGTTGAAGGGCTGAAAAAGATGCCCGTTTACCATAACCACTGAGGCGGAGAAAGTGTACAGGCCACCACCCACTTGCAAAAACCCTTACCAAAACTCATATGTCTTAGGGTGGTCATGACGAACGTCCACCCTACCTTGTCATAAGCCTTTTCCATGTCTAGCAGGAGCAATGTGGTTTCAAGGTTCTCCGCTTGTATTACCTCCAGTACTTCGATTGTTGTCGCAATGTTGTTGAAGATAGATCTTCCTTGAACGAAGGTTCCCTAGTCTTTCTCTACCAACTCGGGTAGGTACCTCCCCAGCCTTCTTGCTAGTGTCTTGGCCAAAATTTTGTATGACACATTTAGCAAGGATATTGGGTGTCAGTTTCGCGTTGTCTCCCTTTTTAAAAAGAACCGAGATCACTCCATGTGTCATCCTCTTGCCTAATCTTTCTCCCAACAGCACACCATTGAAAAAATTCACTAGTGGAGTACCCACTGTCTCCCAACACTTAGCATAGAATTCCACTTTCAGTACGTCTATCCCTAGTTTCCTCTGAGAATGTGTCCACTGCAACTAACTCTTAGTTATTCTTATTTCTCTTGAGTTCAAGGTATCTTGGACGAAAAAACATCGAAGGAGATAGAGAACGAGAATCATTTGGACAGGTTTAGGCAAATAAGGTCGTTCGGGATAGAAAGGGTCTTTCCTTTGGAGACGACTAAGTCTGTTTGTTTCTATTCATCATTGTATTCACAAATTTTCCTTCACGGCACCATTGAAATTATTCACTTTAAAATTCAAGTACTTTTGTCATGCAGGCAGGTGAAAGATAGAAAGAGGACGGTCCTTTTCTTCATCTCAAATAGGCACAATCAATCTCCTTTGCAATTATCCTTCTACCTACATGCACAACATGCATAGAAAACAAGTTCAAAAGAAAACGGTACAATCCCAGACTTACGTCAGACCTTCCCATTCATATGCATGATTAGCACAACTTTCTCTATCTTTTATTTCGATCGTTCAAAACAATAGGGTCAAGCAAAGTGTGGGTTCACACAGATGTGACGGGAAATCTGAGTCATTCAACTGACCTCGAGTGAAGTTTGGTCCGGCCCACTCAAGAAAATCGGGTAATACTCCAATCAGAAGAAAATAATCGCCATAGAAAAATATGCGGTACACAACTCATAAGTTGTGGTCTTTCTCTTGAATGACGGTCCGTGCCCTTCTTCAAGTGCCCAATCACACCAAGGGTTGGGCCCACTGAGATGATTAACCCTTAAAGAGGGCGCTCCCATGATAAAAAATTCCAATGTATCGTGTCGTCCTAGCACAGTCTCAATTGCACCCTGACCACCAAAGATATTCCCCAACCAGCCGCAAGTCCACGCCGCCTCTCATCACGTCCACTCTCAATTACCACACCAACGTGCTAGTCCCGATCACAACAACTAGTCCCACCTAGTCCCGAAATGGTCCTGGATAGACTCAATGCAATCCCATACTATCGCCCGCAATACCAGATGGTCCAGAACTCAAAACCGCTTGCAGTACGCACAACAAAAAAATAAAATAAAGGTGGCCCCCAGTGAAACCCGCAAGTGTCGCGAGCCCCATAATTACTTTGCCGCGTGCAACCGCTCCGCACTTTCTGCATGCCATCGACCCACGCACTACTACCGCACAGTCCCAACCACGCACCAGCGTTTGCCCAACCTCTAGACCACACCGAGGTCCACCATAACCGCCGCACACCACAAAAATAACGGCGGACCACTGCTTGCTGCGCCGTCAAAACTGGTACCATGGCTGTCCCACAACACCACCGCCAGATCACATACAGAAAACTGCCTCCACTGTGACGCAAAGATTCGCAACATGTTCCCTTACAATAGTGTTGTCGACGTGCCGCCAGCATAACCCCCCAAAAAATAACGCCGATACCACCGCCAATCTCGGCAGCATTAAAGTGCGACTGCTGCAACCGCCGTGAAAAACCGGCAGCGCTTTCACATCACTGTCGTTAAAACCAGTGCCGCCGTCGCAAAAATCTGGGAGCGCTTCAACGTCATTGCCAAGAATACACTGCTGCCGCCGTGCAAAATGGGCAGAGCCTCCTCTGCACCGCTACAAAAATAATTGTCGCTGCCCCGCTGTGCAGGCAACACCTTCCCATACTCACAAAAAAAAACACAGCGGCGCCACGCATCAAATCTGGCAGCACCTTCCCTCAGGAAGGTCTTGATGCCGCGACGACAATCCGACAACACAACCCTACTGAAATAGGTGTCGCTTGCCGCACCGTCCGGACCTGACACAGCCCTACCGCCACCGCACCAGTACGAGGATGGGGCAGAGAGCCTCCAACCCTTGGCTATGGCTGCCTCTCTTCTCCTCCTCCAGCAACATCTTCCATCATACTGCAGACCTCCATTCTCCACTCCTGCATCTCCATCGGCAGCACCGCCCCACAGCAGCAGCCAACCAGCATTCACTCAAGTGAATGTCCCAGCAGCACTGCCACAAGTGTGAGGCTGCTAGCCGAAAGCATGTGGGCAGCTGCCTTGCCCACAGCCAGACAAAAATTCGTCAGAGCTCCTGACCCTTGATTTAAATCGATGGCCAGGAGCTCTGAGCTTTGGTTGTCCCCTACGGGATCCAAGGTCATCCATTCCCGGAAGCATCTGGCCTTTCCCGCAGGCCACATGCTCCATGAAATGGTTGTACCCAACCATTGTCTGCAGCCTGTTCAATTGAACAGGTGCAGTCTCATCAGCCCCTAGAAGCTTCTGGGGGCTGCACCTGTCCCACGGCCGCAGCCACATTCGCGGCCGTTACATTTTTCTCTCTCCCCCTTTCCTTACTTTCTTTTTTTTTTTCCTTTTTTTTCTTTTTACCCCTCCTGCCCCCTCGTTTCTCTTGTGCAGGGGCACCCTGTCGTTCGAAATGAACGGCCGCCCTTTTCAGAGCGGTGCAACTCCCCAAACCCCTAAGAAAAAAAAAACGGAGGGGAACCAAAAAAAAAGAACTAAAAAAAAAATAAATTAAAAAAAAAAGAAAGTAAAACCTTACCTTTCGGTCGTTGCTCCCCCTGTCACCGTCAACAGGTAAGGTCCCCTCTCTCGCTCTCTCTCTCTCTCTCTCTCTCTCTCTCTCTCTCTCTCTCTCTCTCTCTCTCTCTCTCTCTCTTAAAAAGATCTCCCCAATGAGATCCCCGAAGGGGAACACATGGTGATTGCAGGGGACTTCAACACTACATTGTGACCCCGACTCGACTCTCCGGTACCGGGCCCAAGGAAAACTGATGCTATCTTACTAACCCGTTTTCTGAAGGAATATATGCTCACAAACACATATCGCATGCTGCACCCAGATTCTCCTGGCTTTACCTGGCGTTTTGGTCAACATCTGGAAGACAGAGAACCAGCCAGTAGGCGTTTGGACTTGATCCTCACGAAAGGGGAAGCGTGAGAGACAGCGCTGGAAGCTGAAGTGTGCCCTACACCGCTATCTGACCACTGGCCAGTGATGGTGGAATTCAGAGTGGGGGAGAGCCTAAAGAGGGTAGCAGGTCCTTTCAGACTGAACACAAAAAATCTGTAGATACCGGGAGTGGTGGAATGGTGTAAGAAGCATTGGAAAGACTGGGAGCAAACCAAAGACTGGTTTGACACTGAAGAGGAATGGGTCCAATTGGGCTACAGGATAGTCACGAGAGCCCTTGATGCCTTTTCAAGAATCCTGGTCAGGGAACGCAATAAAGAGGAATGAGAATGTAGGCAGATAGTGATGGAAGTGGAGAGCAGGATCGGGGAAGACCCCTTCACAGACATTTATTGGGAAAGGAGAAAAGATGAATGGCTTAGGAAGTGGGATGTGCTGCAGATACGTCAACAAGAAGTATGGGCCAAAAGAGCCAGCGAGCGGGGCATGGCGCAAGTTGACAGAATGTCCAAAGAAACGTTTCAGAGACTGTGTCCGGCTAGAACTCACAGTGTGATCAGAGCCTTAGAGCATCCGTTCAACTCGCAGACGGACATTGCAGAGGACACTGAGGTCATGACAGTCTATGCAACTGAGTACTACAACGATATTTTGACATCACGAATGCCGGCAGAAGAATCCTTGGCAGATCTGCAAGCTGAAGGGAACCTCTGGCAGTCCTCCCCACATCGCTTTAAACAAGATCAACGTCTGTCCTTGGACAGACCATTGACCCTGGAAGAGCTCAAGGAGGCAGTCGCAGACATGGCCAAAGGAAAAGCGCCGAGAGATGATGGTCTCCCAGTGGAGTTCTACCAGGCCACTTGGGACCAGGTGGGCCCGATTCTGCTCAGGCTATTCAACAAGATCCTGGAAGGAGGATCACTAACGGAGGACATGTGACGTGGGACAATCACTCTGTTATACAAGAAGGGGGATAAGAAGAACGTGCGTAACTGGAGACCCATCACCCTTTTAAATGCGTCGTATAAGATCCTGGCGAAGGCAATGGCTCGAAGATTGGCAGTAGTTCTCCCGGACCCGGTGAAAGCATATCAAGGTGCATTTGTGAAAGGTCGGGCTATCGTGAGTCTTCGAGTCCGCTGCATCGGTGATCGATGTGTTGGAGTGCATACAGCTACCGTGAGAAGGGGAGCGTGCACGCGTGTGTGTGTGTGTGTGTCCATGCTCATTGCCCTCCTCCCTCCTCCTCCATCCATGCGCATCGCCCTCCTCCCTCCTCCTCCTTCTCCGTCCTCGCCGCTCTCCTCTCTTCTAGTCCAGCCTCCATCCTCTATCCTCGTCCGAGTCCTTGTCTTCCCTACTCCTCTTCCCCTCCTATTCCCTCGTTCCTCCCTCCTCCAACTTTCTCCTCGTCACCCCTCCCTCTCCACCTCCTCGGTTGTCGACCTCCTATTCATCACTGTGGCTGTCTTCTTGGCGTCATCGCCCATGCATGTGTGCGCGTCTGCGTATGTGTGTGTGTGTGTGTGTATGCTCCTCTTCCCTCCTCCTCCATGCATGCTTATTGCCCTCCTCCCTCCTCCATCCATGCTTATCGCCCTCCTCCCTCCTCCTCCATCCATGCTCGTCGCTCTCCTCTTTTCTCCTCCAGCCTCCATCCTCTATCCTCGTCGGCTCCGTCATCGTCATAGTCTTTGTCCTCCCTACTCCTTTCCATCCTCTTCCCTCGTTCCTCCTCTTCCCTCCTCTTCCCTCGTTACTCCTCTTCCCTCCTCTTCCCTCGTTCCTCCTCTTCCCTCCTCTTCCCTCGTTCCTCCTCTTCCCTCCTCTTCCCTCGTTCCTCCTCTTCCCTCCTCTTCCCTCGTTCCTCCCTCCTCCAACTTTCTCCTCGTCATCCCTCCCTCTCCTCCTCCTCGATTGTCGACCTCCTAACCATCACCATGGCTGTCTTCTTGGTGTCATCGCCCATGCATGCGCGCGCGTCTGTGTGTGTGTGTGTGGTGTGTGTGTGTGTGTGTGTGTGTGTTCATGTTCATCGCCAAATTTCTGATATGCCCCGGTAGCATCTCTCCCGGGCCAGGGGAAAGACTGAGTGTCAACAACGGCCACAGGGGCTCGATGGAAAGATGGACGGTACCAATAAGCGCATATGGGAAACTTTTGTGCTGGTTCTCAACGGCCATCTGGTAGGGGCATACTAAAAATTTTGTACTGGTACCGGTAGGGGCCTTTGAAACGTTTTTCAGGCCCAAACGACGCCAGGGGTCGTCGTCTGAGGGGCACGACAAGGTAAGTCGGCCGTCAGAGGGGCACACCGCAAATAAACGCGAAATTCAGGGTCATTTCGAAAATTTTTCTTGTTTTTTTTTTTTCGCCCCTCGCGGCTGCGGACCTCGGTGGGCGCCGGCTGGCCGAGCAGTGGATCTCGAGCAGGGAAAAAACGGGCATGTGTATTGTATCGAGGCCCAGTGAATCGCCGGCCGGCCGGGCGGTGTATCTCGAACAGGAAAAAAAGGGGTATCCGGCTGGCCGGGCAGTGGATCTCGAGCAGGAGAAACAACGGGCATGGGTAGCGCAGGCGGGCCGGGCGGTGGATCTCGAACAGGAAAAGAAGGGGCATCGGTCCCCTATTCACCAAATGTGCAAATTGAGAATGAATATTACCCTAGAAAATGGACATGTACACCGCAATAAATCTGTAAAGTTTTGGAAGGGGAAAAAAAAAAAACCACCGCCATACTTCGCCTTTTGTGCATGAGGGAAGCCCTACCCTCTTCCCCCTGGAATGCACCCTGATTTGTGCTGTACCTGCCCGGGAATGTGTGTTATGTTCGGGAGAAGGCGGTAGCACCGTATCGCTACCCAGCTCTCTCTCTCTCTCTCTCTCTCTCTCTCTCTCTCTCTCTCTCTCAATTCTCTCTCTCTCTCTATGTCTCTCTAACCGGTGTGCTTCGGTAGGATGTGCCTCGTCTTCCGTGTTTCGGTGATGCTTTGCGCTGCGACGCGAGCTGATCTACGTGCAACGTGAGTTGGTCTGAAAGTCCGACGAGCTGGGCTTCAAGCTTTGGTGCTATGTGCTTCGTCTTTCGTGCGTTGGTGCTACATGCTTCGCCGGTGCTACGTGCTTCGTGCTTGGTACCTGGTTCGTTCTCCATCTCTCTCTCTCTCTCTCTCTCCCTCTGTGCTACCGGTGCTACGTGGTTCGTTCTTTGGCGATACGTGCCGTGCTCGCCAGTGCTTGCTAGGTGGTTCTTTCTTCGGTGCTACGTGCTTCATGCTACGTGGTTCGTTCTTCTCCATGTCTCTCTCTCTGTGCTACAGCTGTAGCCATTTGATTCGTGAGGTTGGTGCTACCTGATTCGAGGTTGAGCTCCCTGAGATTGGTGCTACGTGAACTGTCCTGCGTGCTACGTGAAGTTCTACGTGGCTTACTGCAACGTGTGCTTGAGGCATTGTCTACTTTTGTGGAACTCGGGAGGGCTGGGCTAAATCATGGTCGAAGGCTTGCGCATTGTTGGTTTATCGTTGTCGATTGGATGCTTCGTTGGCGTGGCTGACTCAAGTGAGTCTCCATTTCTCTTACCTTCCTCCATGTGACCTCTCTCCTTATTCCGTCCGTCCAATCTCTGCCTGATCTCCGCCTGCTCTCCTCCTCCCTGCCTCCTCCCTCTACTTCCTTTCTGCTTTCGACCTCCGCTTGACCTCCTCCCTTCCTCCTCCCTCGGCCCTCCCTCCTCTTTCGGTCCTTCCTCGGCCACTCCTTCCTCACATCCCCATCCGTCCTCCCTCCCGTGGCCTTTCCCCCTCGAACCTCCCTCCCTCCCTCCCTTCCTCCTTGCTCGGCCCTCCCTGCCTCTTTCCTTCCTTAGCGCTCCGCCTTCCCTCCCTCCCTTTGCCCTTCTTGGCGCCCAACCTAGCGGGTGCATTTCGTCTTTCTTTTTTAACACATGGACGTAACGCTGAATTTCGTTTTTCGACCCGCTCGTGCGCGCCACAGAGACACCAGCACCTCCCTCTCTTTCGGCCTGTCCTCCTTCCCTCCATTCATGCCTCATCGCTTCTCCATCGGCCCCGCTACTTTCAGGTGGGGCTGTCGTTTTGTTCTCGGCCAGCCTTTCAATTCGAGTGTCCTCGTCGTTTGTGTTCTCAGCTCTAAGCTGTTAATGGTCAGGGAAGAATGTAGTGTCAACTGATAACGAATTGGCGATTTGCTCGGGTCAGGCACCAATGCGAGTGTCCTCGT